ACATTCATCTGGTCAAGAAAAAACAAATTAAACTTTTCTAAAATATAAATGAAAAATCAGTGTAGGAGGTAGATCTGGGGAAAAACTATTTACAGTTTCTAATCACGCTGTAAAAACTGAAAACATAAGCTTATTCTACAGTTTTGTAAAAGTTTGTGAAAGGTTCTAGACTTTTCACCTCAGACTCCAGCATTAACTCATACGTAATGTAGATCATTTCAAACACATTCCGCTCAAATCTGAGTTGAAGTAATAAAGTCTTTGTGATGATTTTTATTGCGTAGTCATCAACAAGCAACCCACGGGCTRGTAGAATCAGCTGGAGAGTGGAGACAAACCGGGCCTTCATGACCTTCTTCAAGATTTCATCATAATGCGCTCCGAAAAATGTGTCCTCGTCCCGCACCATCATGCAGAGATGTTGTAGCTGGCTTGGACGGTTTATGATACACCCATTACATATTTCCTGGACGTGAGAATCCAGAGTCATGTTGAGCAGGTGAAGGATGGCCATCTTCACAGTTTGAATCACCTCGGAATCCAACCAGTCGCCACTGGACCTGGGGCTGGTTGATGGTTCCTGCGGAGGTGAAGGAGGAGGAAGTGAGGCCTTTTGAGGCCCAGAGGCCGCTCCGGGCTCCACAATCAGGTCCTCAGAGTCCTGTCCGGGGTCCGCTTGAGGGTCAGCAATCCRCAGTGAGAGTTCGGGTGTTGGTTTTGAATCGTCAGTGTCCAACGGTAGGTCAGGGTTTGAGCGAAGCCATCTGATGATGTCCTCATGTACCGGATCGGAGCATGCAGTCTGAGACTYGTCTGCATCTGCTTCAAGTTGCGGGACCTGCAGGTCTGCYAGCGGTGAGTGAGGGGTTGTAGCCGGCAGRGAGAGCGGGGATGTGGGAAAGTAATCCACGAAGTACTCTGGATGTTGCTCATGRGGTAGAGGCGTAGAGGCGCYGAGTGGGGGGTGGGGACCCAGAATGTCTTCGGCCAGATCAACATCACTCACCCCCCAGAACTTTGCAAGAGATGGTTGTCGGAGCGGTCGGAACATTTTCTTTTCGGTCTTTGAGTCAGAACTTCTGAGACTTCAGTCAAGTTCCTCTTCTTCTTAAACTGTAGAGAGCGGGAGGGGGGTGGAGCTGGGGATGGGAGTGGAGGTGAAGCTGTGTGTGTGTGTGTGTGTGTGTGTGTGTGTGTGTGTGTGTGTGTGTGTGTGCGCGCGCGAGCACGCGCGGAGGATGAGGAGTTATAAATCCAATGTTTTTTTTACCGCCAAGACATCGTTCCACTGGTGGCAGGTTTGAAACAGGGTGGAAATCTCTGAAGCTGCGCTATACTCATGCAGAATTGTGTACAGCGCATTCACATGCAGAGACAGAACAGCACAATACGCTTCGCAATCTGTATTAATGCTGTCTAGGTGAAAAATATTACTAGGATGGAGATGATCCGTTTTGTAAATGGTTGCCTGCAGTTTCCACTCACCATTATGGCAGGTGTCGAATGTCCAAGCGCGGTAGAGCGTTTTTTTCTGTGTCAGCTCTGTTCTAGTGGGCGGGTCACTCCAGATGATTGGTTGATGGACATATTTGATGAAAAGTTTCAGACTTGATAGGTTTCAGGGAGGGCTGAGTGACCAAGGAGATGGGCCGAAGAGAGAGAGGGGTGGGATCAGGGGCTTAAAAAAGGAGCTGATTGGATGATGGACGAATTTGATGAGAAGTTTCAGACTTTGACAGGTTTAAGGGTTGGGATAAGACTGTAAGTAAGTCTAAGGCCACTTAAAACTTTTGCAAAGGATGCAGTTAGGCTGACATCCTTTGAAAAGAGGAAATATGCAGTGAATGGTAGGATTATGGTTAAGGAAAAGAGGAAGTGAGGGGAGGGAGGGAGGGGGAGAGGA